ACGAAGCTGCAAGAGCAAGTTAAGTAAAGCCATTGTGGATAAGCCTGGAGTGAGATTAAGTCTGATGCGTTGCTGACTTTAAGCGTCAAAGGAAGAGGCAAAAAACAACATTAACTAATAAAAAAAGACAGCAAAAATGTATGCCATTGCATGCATGTATTCTGATGGTGGATATCGGAAACCATGTCTCAACGTAAACTAACATTTTTTTCAAAATTTCTCCTCAATCAGAACTTAATGGCTCAATGGCTTAATAGCTATTTAATAATTCAGGACTGCCTTTCACACAATTATTCCTCATCCTGGAAGAAAAAACTGCGTCTTAAATTCCTTTATCATTTTTGTTGAGATTGAAAGATAATTGAACTTGTGCGCGAAATGGGGATGACATAAGGTTCCCATTGTCTTAGACTAGATTTCATAATTGGACAATTGAGTTTTTCCTTTCTAAATAAACTTCCTCAAAACGTTGTAAAAATGTACAAAATATACTGTTTCCTCGGTATTCCGATGTCTTGTTACGTCCCTTCGATGTGATTTCTAAAATATGAACAGCCTGCCAACGTCTCACCCAATCAAGGCACCTGGCAAGATGCATGGAAATTAACGCGTCGCTTAAAAATCGACCCCTAAAATTAGCTTGAGTAGGATACCCCACGATTGCTTACATCGCAGTGTCAAATAAAATCCTTGTGCTCTATGACTAATTCTTATCCTAAATGAGGTGAGAACGACGTAACTTTACATGGGTTAGTCACGTGACCACGAGGAAGTACCCCTTCACACAGTACATTTACGTTAGGGCTAAACTGCTTCGTCCACCCGAATGGGTAGTGCTTGAATAAAATAAATCATAACAACCAGTGGGAAAAAATAATCGAGCATAATTCATCAGCCATTTAACAAATTAACGTCAGCTTTTCATGCATCTGTCCTGTCAAAGTAGCCGTTGACAATGTTATGACGAAATTCGTTGTCAATAACAAGACAACTGACGTCAATTTGTCCTTAACAACAAATTGTCAAATTGTCCGCTCTCGCTCGTTGACACATCGCATAAATTCTAAATTCATGTGTCTGTCCGCTTATTGACAGTGAAAATTAGCCAATTAGCGCGCGAGAATTTCTGCAGTTATCGTCCGTTTTCCGTACATGTAAGTACCATCGGAGAAACTGGGCACTACATCTTCAAGTAAACGATACCCATCTGTCCCTCCTATCTGGTGTCCATCTTTGAAATTCAGAATGGCAGCTTGACACTTTCAAATTGTCGTACTTCTTCATTTCTGTTGAGCCCCAGCCACATGAAAAATGCAAAGGCGAATAGTTAAGAGTGAAAGTCCTATCGTTGAAGATTCTTTTCAGAGGAAGCAGATGACAAGAAGATCTCATGCGGCCTTCACATGGGTTTTTGTCAACGTGATTTTGGCGGCAACTTTCTTTGCGGAGCTGTGAGTAGCGCATCGATCAAAAGTAGACCATTGAGTGTGCAATATTGAAATTATTGAACCTCGCTGCTCTTTTACGCCTGTAAAAGAAAAGGTGAAGGCGATTTAAAGCTTTAAAAAGGGCAATCCATTTGTGTGTGTACATGTAGGTATTTTGTAAAGCTTATCCGACATTTATCAGCATTTACACAGCCGAAGAAATGATTGAGAAAAGACCATCTACATTTTATGCACAATCTAATCTTTGAATTCAATGTATGTATATACCGGTATATACATTCTGAGAGCTTATTTGCTGTTTCCTGCTTATTTGCTGTTTTCCTATATTATTTTAAAAAGTGTAAACCTTTTTCAGGATGTTTGGTTCTGTTGCTGAATACTTTCAGATTCAACACCCTCTGCTCTGGTTTGCTGGTAAGTGTTCTTTACACCATAACTGTGTGGGACTCGGTGCATTTAAGTACTGTTGGGCCGAACAAACAACTGAAACAAATAATTCAAATTGAACGTAACATTGTCAAGAATCCCTACTGGAGGGGGGCAAACCAGTTGCCTAATTACAAGCATGGCCAAGGATTTGAATTTGAGGCTACCGTGAAACAAATCCAGGTTGTGGTCAGAGCGGATCTTGGTACCTCCTCTAAAGGGGTTCTTTTCAAAATTTCCAACAAGCACCCCCGTCCTTTTAATACAGGAGCCCTTCTCCGGCTAAACTTTGAGACTTTGAGCAATATATTTTGGTATAGTCACGGTGTGGTTCCAGAAAGTATCATACCCACTCCAAGGAGGGTTATTGGAAATTCCAACGGGGAGGGGACTCAAAAGCCAAAATTTTTGAAGGGAAGTATGAACCAAAACTGGAATTTCCAAAATGATGGGGGAAAAGCCTTGCATGGGAGGGTGTGGATATTTTCATGGACAACAATGAATTTTTCATTACTACATGTATGGCTTAAAAATTTGAGTCAGATTACTTTAGATTTAGACTAACACATTATGGATTAATATTATGGTAAGTCTTTACTCGGTGTTCTTCTTGAATTCTAAATGAGATGTACTTTATAGCCAGGTTTTTCATATTTTCTAAGATGGAGGCTCACTAGTTAATAGTAACCCTTAATTTTTCTGCAATCTAATTTCTTTGTTGTTTGGACTTGATGTTGATTAAAATTCATGTTGATTAGCTTATCCATCTTATAAAATGTTGTTTACATGTTTAGTTTGTAGTCTTGCAATCTGGTTCACATTTTGCTTCATTGTGGATCTGTACCATTACACGAGGCCTGTTTTGGGACAAAACAGTGTTGTGCTCTCACCAGAACAAAGGAAGTTACTTGGCATCCGTCCAACAGGTATGGAGTGAGTTCTGGTGACTGACCTTTGGCATGCACAGAAATTTACCTTTTATACCACTGGACTTGTGTTGGAAGTGGCTGAATTCATTCCCCAAAATTCCATGCTGATAACACAGACACTTTCTGCTCTAAAGAGATCCATGCTGTGTCTCTGGCATGCAAAAATTTACAAACAGGAAACCACCAATCATCAAGGGCTCTACACACTGCCAGATGTTTGACACAGAGTTGCTTCATCAGAATAGAATACAAATTATTATTTAGTAACTTGAATATGAGATGTATACTTGTCACACTGAAATGCTTAACTACACGTTTACATGAACAGTTGTTTATTTTGGTGAAAAAAAGAAAACAACGTAATGTTTACTTTGGTCACCAAACTGTAAATTATCTTTGCTTGCACCATCATTACGTCAACACCTCGTGTTAGTTCTGTGTTTCTATCAAGTTACAGTAACACAGTTTTAAACCAATCAGCATGCATATTATCTATACTGTATAATTTATACAGTGGAACCCCATTAATCCAGTCCTCAACAGGCCACAAAAATCTGGCCGTATTGTTGTTAAGGCCAGAATAAAGTGGCCATAATAACGAGGTGACCATATTAACGGGGTGGCCGTAGGGTGGGGTTCCACTGTATATTAATTATTACAAGAATTGAATGTGTACAGTCAAGTACCTTCAGTTAGTGGCAGCAAAGCTGCAATAAAACTCTTACAACCGTTGTCTATGGTAAAATGGTTTTGCTTTTGTGAATGACAATTTTTAATATCAACAGACTCAGGATTCAAGCTGGCTCCACTCCATACCCCAACAAGTCAAGGAACTGCATCTCCCACCATCATCACAACGTCGTCATCACCAGTTGTGGGTGTGTCCACTACAATCACTGGCACACCCCCACGGATCCATGGAACACCACCCAGGGTGAGTGTGAATGCTTGAAACCTGGCAATCAGTATACAGATTCTCATTACTGGTCTTTGTAACTTTTCTACAGTACCAATTGGGAGAATTTGTTTAATAATCAAGGCAACTTCAACCTGATATACTAACACTGTACCATGCTCTCAGTCCAACAGCAGCTCTCCTGCAAGATCTCCATTAACTGGTACACCATCATTTTACAATGAGACAGTTGCAAGCAGTCCTGATTCAAGGTACATGTACAAGTTTGTTTGTTTTTTTTATCTTCAATAGTCCAATGCCATTCACAAAACTTGTTGTAAGCCCTGGACTTAGCTAGTACTTCTTTCTACAGGCCATTTTGTGTCAGCTGATGTTGCTATAATAATGTTATTATCATAGTTGATGAGTCAGTTGTTCGGTCAGTGGACCAGTTGGCTGGAGGGAGGGTGGTTAGCGGTGGTCAGTCAATAGTCTGTTGGTTGGTCATGATATCAGTTATGGTTTCGTAAAAAAATTCAAACTGCACAGTAATTCTCTAAACTCACCAGCAAATTTTGTTTATGATTCATTTGGCAGTTTTTTTAGGAGACTTGGACTTGGAATATGGCTGGAAAGATCACATTGTGGCTAACAGTTTTTTTCTGTTTTAAACTTTTAGGTCTAGACATTCATCTCCTGGCAGGTCTCCATGTAAGTTTAGTTGAACTTCCTAAATAAATAAATAACAATATTTAGAGAGGAAGCTTCATCAGCCGTAGTTGTTTTCCATACTGGTCCTCTATCCTGGTCGAATTGGAATTTGGAGATGTTGGTTTTTGTGGAGGAAGGAAAACCGGGGAAACGCCCTTGGAGCAAGGAGAGAATCAAGAACAAACTCAACTCACATATGACACTGGGCCAGAGTCAAACCCACACCACATTGGTGGCAGGCAGGTGCTCTCAGCACTGTGCCAACCACTGCACCAATCCTGCTCCTTTCTGTTTTAATAATTTTGCTATTTTTAATAACGCAGAATTTCATGCAACTGTTATCATTATGACAAATTTGGGAAAAAAGGGAAATGATTTTGAGCTAAGATTGCCCCCGGCTAACTGAGTTTGTTTTAGTTCCATCCAGTGACTACATGACAGATCTCAACTCACTTGATCAGTATTTCAGAGAACAAGAGCAAGAAGAGCATAGATTACAAAGAGGTATATTCCATACTGTTGCACAATTAATGTAGTTCTGACAGATCAGGACAGGTTCAGTGGCAGAATGGTTAGTGCTCTGGACTACTGTGCTAGACTGGGTGTGAAGTTTGCATTCAAGCCCAGTGGTCCATTAGGGTAGCACTATCTCTGGTTTCCATAGGATGAAGTGTCTGGAGGTGGCTCTACCCCCCTCCCCCACCGTATGGGATGCTTGTCCCTTGCAGGGTTATCCCTGGCATCAAATGCCCCAGGACCCATTTATATACCTGGGTATAGACAGGCGCTGTAAGGCTAAAATAAGTGTCTTGCCCGAGAACATGCCAGAATGACCCTGGCCAGGGCTCGAACCTGGACCACTTAATCTGGCACAGTAACCATCAGACAATCACATGTACTGGTATGACCATATTTTTATGGCCCAATAAATTATTTTTAATTATTTTGCACAGAAGCACAACAACATAGATTAATTAGCATATGATTTACACTCGCTTCTTTTTTTAAATGCCCTAACAGTTGCTTCACCTGATGCACTCTCATCAGGCAGAGGACAGCCTTACTGGTCAGGCTACAGATACGACTTCACTCCTCCACTGAATGTATACAGAATTGCTCGAAGGTAAAGTGGGACCCTGTCCTAAATGCTGGTTTTGACTACCTAGGTAATAAGCATAAGGATATAAGTCAACATATGCAGATGCACTAAGATGTTGATAACAAGCACATTTTGTTACCTGCAGCTGTAGGACATTTTCCTAATAAACTGAAGGCACTAGTTGAAAGCACTCTTCTGCATCTGCTTATGCTGTCTTTGCTTATGCATTAGTGAAAATCAGCCTTAAGCTTGACCTGAAAATTGTCCTTACTGATAACAATACTTTCCTCTCAGTATTACAGTTGAACCAAATTTTACGGACACCCACTTAACATGGACACCCCCTTATTATGGACATTTCTCTTTGTTTCTGGGGAGAGCTCATACATTCTTTCAAAATTCAACCTGCTTAATAGGGACACCCATTAATATGGACAACAGACACTTTTTCTATCTCCATAAACTAATTCTCATTGGAAGGTAACCTCACCAATGCGGTCACTCTTTCATCAACTTTGTCTGTAATGAGCTTTATCTTTTGTGAAGGGAGGTAAAACATGCTACCTGTGTTGTCCACAGCACTAACTAGGTGAGATGTTTGACTGTAGTTCCAAGAATTTAGTTGTACATCAACCCTGGCATGATCCTTTGGTTGATAATTTTTTTACTTTCTTATCCTGCCTTTGTTTAACCTTGTGTTGCTTTTGTGAAAAGAAATCAGATTTTGATCAGCATTTTCGTTTTTTAAGGTCTCCTGATCTGACTTCTTCACGAGATGATGATGACTCAGGTTACAACAGTACAAAAGCTGATGAGGTATCTTTTTGTTATTATTCTACATTCATTCATACTGAAACTTTATTTTAATTACTTACAGTCAAACTTGAGGTTCTTTCCATAAAAAGTTGAAAGGTTTGGTTGCAGATTTTGGTTTGTTTTTGTTTTAATTTGTTTCATGTCATGATGTTGTAAAATTGAATGAAAGAAACCTGATGGGAGGACTGTACAGTCACTAAATGTTCATGCAAAGAAATCTTGATATCAGTGAAATTTAATTTTATACATTTATTAATAGCGTGCAATTATCTTTCTTGAGAGTGAATATCCTACATTTACTACCAATACTTACCACCATTCTAAAAGCCTGCTACATTAGCCAGCCCTAATGCAGGAAAAGCATTTTTAGAGCTATGCTGTTTTATATTGATATAACAATAACATAGAGATTTAGTCAAGCCTAAAAGCAGAGCTCCTGATTACAACAAGTTAACCTTTCATTTTGATTTACATGAAGGGGCATTTNTATCTTTCTTGAGAGTGAATATCCTACATTTACTGCCAATGCTTACCACCATTCTAAAAGCCTGCTACATTAGCCAGCCCTAATGCAAGAAAAGCATTTTTAGAGCTATGCTGTTTTATACTGATATAACAATAACATAGAGATTTAGCCAAGCCTAAAAGCAGAGCTCCTGATTACAACAAGTTAACCTTTCATTTTGATATACATGAAGGGGCATTCGGACAGACAGATAGACGATCATGTGACATCCCAAATTTTTATCTTAATGGGTCACCAAATTTTCTTAGATATGGGGCTCCACTCACACGCTTTGGCACACTGGATCTCCCCTATTATTGCAGTTCCTGGCGTAATGTGCATTGTACCTTTTGTTAGATCTGGACAAAATTTGCTGTAACAAGGACAAATCTTGACCATTGGACTGAAAACTGCAGAAAGGTATAAGAAATTAAGAAACCCAACTTGTGTTTCTCGAAAATGATGCCAGATTAAGTTGCGTGGCTCAATATCCCAAAATCTAGAATTTGATCATGGCTTTTGTATGTCATTTTGTTGTATTCTTGGATAAGACACTTTATTAACCTATGTAGTGTCGCTTCTACAATGTATCAATAAGTACTTGTAGAAAAATTATCGGAACAACTTGATTAATATTCTGAACTGCCGACATATTGAAGGGCATTAAATAACACTTTTATTAACAAATTTATAGCATTGTTATTATGTAGTTGCTGAATGCCAGTGGGAATTACAGATCTACAGTAAATGAACCTCCGGAGTGGCTGAAATAAGAAAACCTGAAGTCACAATTTTTTACTAGTACAGTTCTGTCTTGATACATTACTCTGCATACAATACATTTTAGAGACTAGAAGTACTATTTTTGTTTATAGTGGCTTTGTCAAACAATCTTGGTGCGACTTGTGGAGCAGATTGATGCAGTGAACGAGACCCTTTGCAGAATTGGTTGCTCAGAGCTTCAAGTAGGGGGTAAGTAATTTTTGTTTTTAAAGGGTGTGTCTCTGCATCAGAATTTCGGTTATAGTTTGAACTGTGCCATGGATCTGCATTGCCTGTCCAACTTCAATGAGTGACAAAAGTGCTGAGGCACTTTGCAATAGAATTCTATTTTCAAGTATCTTGGAAGCATTTTCCCCCTAGACTCAATGCCATCTCTTAACAGACTGTCATCTTTAACGCTTTGTTATTTTTGTATTCATTCAGCCATCAGTCTTAGCGCTGTGCGACAAGTAGCTGTCACAAAAGCCGACCAGGCTCCCACCCTGCGAGCCATTATTCCTTACCTTGAAGCTTCTAATAACCAGGAGTATCTTGTACAACGCCTCTCAGGTTTGTTTTATAAATTTTTACCATTTTATATTTTGGCATTTTAGAATGTGATAAAACATCTTTTTTTAATTGGAACCAAGTCTCTAGGAATTGACGTTGCAGCTTTTCAGCCAGGATGTTGCCGAGGAATGTGATTAAGATTAATACGATTTGTTTGATCAACATGAAAATTCTTCTCGTCTTTTTTTAAATGAAATGAAGCAATTTCGCGTATGACAGAGTAAAGAGAAAATGGTATTTTATCATTTTTGTTGATTAATAAAAGGGTTCACTGCTCTTGCTTATTTTTAGAGCTGGCTCAGGGTGGCTGTATGGGATTATACAGATGGAATTCTGGCGGACAGTACAGAGGGAAGTTATGGGAACAAGATCTTTTAGCCGATTCACAGGTTTGTAATGGCTCTGTCAATTCTAAGCCCCTCCATCGCCCCGGGAGTTTGTAGGAGGGAAGTATGGGGAGACGTCTAGGTTAACGCGGGAGTGCGTCGAAGAAAAGCGCGGGAAAATGTGTAGCAAGATGTAAACGCGGCAGAGGAAAGCGCGGGAAAAAGCATAACTGAAACAAGCAAGAGCGAAAGTAAATTATATGTTTAGTTTTTTATTTTTTACCAATTTCAGTAGTAATTGCTACTACTATGCTGAATATGAAATGATTTCTTTTTTGTCTGTGTTCTTGTAACCCAAACCTTTGTGTCTTCCAGTTGCTGCTCCACATGTTCTGTACATATATGGATTCTCGTCTACCCGCTGACCCAACATTCCCGGATGGAAGGACATTCACTGGGCGTCATTTCCTAAAGACCCCGGATAAACCAGGTAACCTGGCACTAGTTTAATTACCTTACCGACCCGGATTCCGGAACAAATTGAGATGTCCTCGCTGATTATCTTTGTATCAGGCTTCATTTCAAGTTGTATTTATACGAAAATTATAGATAAACGCCATGATATTGTAACTATTACAAGATGTTACTAATAGACCTCATATGAATAGGATACAAGACGCTTCGTAGTAATTCTGTTTCAAAGCATTTCACTTTGGTTTGCTCATGCGAAGTTGTTTGTGTTGCAGACGTTCGTAAGAGTGACTTGTGTATTTACCAGTCTCGCCTTCATCCGCCGCACTTTAAGGTAAACAACACCTGAAGATAAAATGTAAATAGAGATCTTGGCAATTAGAGGGTAAATTTCTAAAGAAACGTCTGCCATATAGGCGCTAGCCCTTGTTGCGGGCGGGTTTCTCGCGCATGTCAGTGGCTGATCTACGGGGAGGAGGAGTCGAGGGGCTGGCCGCCTTATTGGCCAAAGTCCCTAATGCTTTAAATGCGGAATTGGGGGGTGGTCTCCCACTTTGATTTAACGCTAAGAGGGCCGGAAACATTTGAGGGCTTCCAACTTATAAAGAGGTCTGAATCTGTCCCTGAATTTTGTTAATATAGTCGATGAAGATCTTGCGAAATTTTCTTTTCTCTTGTTCGATCGTAAGATTTCACTTTCAAACGTCGTTGTTGAAATCGATTAGTGCAAAATACGAAAAGAACTGTATTTTCATCCTTCCTGAAATGTTTTCTTTCCAGGTTATTATTGAAGATGAAGTCTATGACATGCCAAAGGTATCATTTTTGTTTTAATTTTGCTACTTTTGAACAGAACACCAACAGTGAGCCATGCAGTCAGATTGAACATTATATTTAATAATTACATTGTGAGCTCGAGATTTCTATCGCGTGAGAGTTGACGAGGGTGCAGCCCGAGTCAACTATCATGCATAGAAATCGAGAGCGAATAATCTAATTGTTTTAGTATAAATCTACTAGTTGTTCAAAAGTGTATCTAAAT